AATCGGTGCTTGTTTTCACAGGGTGAGCCCCACAAAACAATTGGAGGTAATTGTGAAATGAAGTTAGTTCAATGGTAATTAGTTTACGCAGAGTTAAACTAGAGAAATACGTATAACTAAATTCGATACGTATTATTAGAACCCTACAAATGAAACACAACGAAATTACGAATCTGCAAAAAAAATTGTTTTGAGGTTACTTACGCGTGGTTGAGGTATTTCCAGAGAAAACGAATAAAATCTTCTGATTTCCAACCTAACAAGAGATATAGGTGACGATAACGAAAAATAGGGTTAAATGATTCTTACCAAGCCGTGCCCAATTAATCCGGATATACCGATTGATTTACAGGCTCCAAATTCCAAAAATAGGTATCACAATTAGCCTAAATAAATCCACAGCAGGTTATTCTAAGATTTAATCCCGAAAACAACTTCGGATGATTACAATAAAACCAATTATTTAGAAATTCCTGGGAGACACGCACTCAGTCAGAAGTACAGAAGAACAATCCATGGCTGAAACCCTTTTTCCGGTCTCAAGATAATGCGCAATAGATGACCAATTAAAATTAATTGTTAAGGGCAAAAAAAATTTGAATTTTTCAAATTTCCGGCAAGTTAGGGGAGTTTGTCTAGTGACACTGACAGGTTGGCAACACTGAATTTTTGACATCAAAACAAATGAAGATAACCTAGTTTTGCAGACTCAAAATAAGGACAAAACAAAGTAAGTACACTATGATTTCCTCACATAACAACAGAAAACAAGTAATAAACGCATTTTAGATATCACCTAACCTAACTTTTTGGTCAGAGTTTGTCTAACCCAAGGCTTTGTTATCTATGGTCTAACCAGTTCACACAAAAAAATAACATTCAAACAAGGAAAAATAGGTAAGTTTACACCAAATCTAGTAACTTAACGATTTCAATCGTGTTTTTAGATCCCTAGAGTCCATAGAACCTAAGCAAGGTGGAATTTACTGCTTAAGACACTGCTTTTATTAGCCATGGGAGGTTCCACATTTACAACCGAAACAAGATATAAAATACACCACCAACAGATAAATACCGGATAGACAGGATCTTAGATGTTTGAAAATTCAATTCGGTAAATTCTAACACTACAATAAGTTATGGAAAAGTGATTTTCAGCAGTAAGTAAACTTGTATAAATTACTAAAATTAAAAAGATTTGAAAGTAAAATTAGCATTACTCTTAGCAAAAATAAAAAGGTAACACTGTGCTTTGTTATATATGTTCCTCACCAGGCACCGACAAACAGACTGTTTTGGACCTCATCAGTGGCGGGTTGTATGTGTAATACATCTGTACAACAAGCCATCGGTCGCTTTTTAGGCGGCAGGATAAACGTCAGCGGTAGGATAGTAAACGAAAGTTATCAGCCCCATCTTCCGTCCAAAGGACGTGTCTTCTCTATGTGTTTTGGCGTAGAACTTAAGTGCCAGAGTTATACTCCATCTGTGATGTTATATTCTCTCTGAACAATTACAACACAAATCAACAATCTAGTATAACGCATAATTACAACGTCCCGACTAAACTTTAACTGTCAAACACATCATAGGTTTCTGCTGTGGTGCAAATGATTTAGTTATTAAACACGCAGCGATTACGCGCCCCTCTGTAGATAAAATAACCAAGTAGTTCCATTCTGCCTCCTGGTTTCGTTTCGCCCCGCCTTTCCATAATTATAATTCAAAATTAAGTTTTCTGTAACGTATTTAATTCAATTTTTATAAAAAGAACTATGTTCAAATATTCATTTATATTAAGAATCGTTGATCATTTTTCTCCATTTATAGAGCATCATTGTGCGGTATAAAGACCGTAAAAATAGAAAGATAAATCTGTGAGAGATGATTTAAATTCATCACACGTGGCCTATTTATAATCCTAAAGAAGGAAATGCTGCTATCCGTCTCCATCATACAGCATCCTACTTTTCTTATACACTACATTACTATGCAACATTATTATTACAGAATTCTTGTTCAGCGTTTCGTGTTTTTGTGCCAAAGTCGCAAATTTCGCATTATTGTACGCCAAGATAAAAGTACGACAACTTGCACCACTTTTATCAATATTATTTTTGATAAGTTTTAAGCGAAAATTTATGCTTGTTTTGTAAAATGCATTTTACCAAAAAGTATGCCGCATAAATTTTACTTAAAATGTTGTTGCACAAACAAATTGAAATACAAAATACTTTTTAAAAAGATATATTTATTCACATAACCACTGGTCATTAGCGTTGAAATATTTACATTAAATTGGTATTAAATTAAAGTTAATTGCTTTTAAAAAACAAAAATAAATTAATATTACATACCTAATGTGTAATAAGCAACAACCAAAATTAATTAAAAATTAATATCATCAATCAATTAAAAAAATTAACATCTTAAACATTTAGCTTCGTTTAAAGTACAATTCTGAAAATTCATCATGAACCACTACATCTCCGAGCTCCGTATGTGGCTTTGGGTTTTTTGTTTACCGTTATGCCTTAATAGCAAGTACCTTACTTTGCCCAAGCCTGTGGTCAGTACTACTGACTTAGTAGATTTCTTGCTAAAGTGATTTTTGAACAACACTTTAAAAAGCTTTTTATAGCTAAACAGTTTTCGATCCTATTTATTTTTTCATCGTAAAATTTTAAGTGAAAAAGTAAAGCTAAGCTATAAAAATAAAGATTTAAAGGCCCTGTAAAGCAAGGAAGAAAGAACTTACTGCTATGGATTTATCTCCCAAAAAAACAAATACTAAAGACTAAAGGCTAAAAAGTCTTCAAAATGGTTAAAAAAGAATATTTTAGTGCTTAATTTTCATCAGTAATATTGAGACAAGTCCATTTAAAAAAAGGTTTAAAATGATTTCTTAGAGGTTCTAAGGCTAAAATCTAAAAATTACAAAAAAATCTCGTATATTTTTTAGCTAATGACAAATATAGTCTCATAGTCATTAAGTTTGTCAATCTTACCTGAAGACGATTGTAACTTTTTTAGATTTACTTGCGAATTGCCAGATTGTGTAAAAATTTCCATAACGAAAAAAACATGCTAAATGCGTTGTCATGTTTTGTAAAACACAAGCCGGCGACAGAGAACACTTGAAGGCTTTCCATAAAATCCCGATGGTTTTGTCTGAGGAAATTCAATTAGCAACACAAAATTTAATGCAAATTTATTGAAAAAACAGGTAATCTGTGCCATGAATAAGACCATGGTATTTTTATGTATTTCCGACCTCTAAAACTGAATCTAAGCTCTGTTCAGCCCCTACTTGTCTGGGTTTTTTTCTACACTATGCCCCTGGATCGAGTTGTCGATAGGAAGAACTTTTATTATGCAAAAAAATAGATTCCCATAAAAAAAATTAATTAATGTACAGGGGTGCTTGGAAATTGGGAAAAGTTCCGTAAAAAATTAAAGCTACATCTAGCGGCCAAGATAAAAGTCTACCATTACCGACATTGTCGATAAAATAGGTTCCATTCTTATTATTACACGTGCTATTTCATGTCGTTGTTCTTGAAAGATGAAAGTGATTTAAAATCAGGTTTGTAAAAATGCCTACTGTAGCTTATTTGTATATCTCTTAATATTTTTTCCTAAAAGCCTCACTTTTGTTTCCATTTCTTTCCCAGGTCAGTGGAGTGCCGATTTATTTTTTAAAAACATTTTGGGGTGACTTGAAAAATGGTTCCTATTTACAAGCGGAAGGCAGGAAGTCGCTAATACCGGGATTTTGATGAAGAAACGTTAAACGCCGCTGTACAAAGTTACAAAAGGGGGGACAGGACAGGAAGTTGCCGAGGAGTATGAAATACCGTATACTACAATATATCGAAAGGCCAAGGGTTTACACAAAAAAATACCAGGTGGTCAACCTGTTCTTACAAAAAACCTCGAAAATGTAATTGTTAAGACTGTATTGGCCGCTGCTGATTGGGGCTATGCTATGGAAATGAGTGAAATACAGGAAATGGTAGCAGGTTATATACAAAAACTTGGATTGGCAAATACAAAATTTAAAAACAATAGATCAGGCAAAGATTGGTATGAGGGTTTTTTTAAAACGTCACCGAGTTATCACCCAAAGAAGAAAATCTCAATCAATAAAATTGAGCAGAGCAAAGGTGTCGCCTGAAGATATTAACAACTTTTTTGATAACTTGGAAGTTAGTCTACTAAACGTTCTTCCTGAATGCATAGTAAATTTTGATGAAACAAATTTCATCGACGACCCGGGCAGGAATAAATTTGTAGTTAGACGCACTTCTAAAAGAGCAGAAAAGGTGATTGACACTTCCAAATCGGCGAGTTCAGTAATGGTTGCAGGTTCAGCTTTCGGCCTCCTATTGCCAGTTTACGTGGTCTACAAAGCAGAACACATATGGCAAACTTGGACCGAAGATGGTCCGTTGCATGCCAGGTATAACAGATCACAGAAAGTTGATTGAAACGTTGTGTTATAAAAGAATCAAAGATGAAGATAGTTCAAGACAGTTTAATTCAAAATTATACTTCATCTACCAACCTCAAATCTAAAAAGGTATAACAGGACTTGCTCTGGATGGTTCGATGCAAATTTATTTACCGAGTGGTTTCTTAAACTTGCACTTCCCTATTTCCGAATATCACCAAAGGGTCCAAAAGTTTTAGTGGGAGATAATCTTGCCTCCCATCTTACAATTCCTGTGACTCAAAAGTGCCTTGAAAACGATATAAGATTCGTCTTCCTACCTCCCAGAAGCACATACTTAACACAGCCACTTGATGTAGCTGTGTTTGCCACTATAAAGAACAAGTGCTGCAGCTGATGCTATGGTTACAACTTTGACGGCAATGTTTAAAGAGGTCAGATATGGGAAATCTGATGCACCGGTGAGAGGAAAGAAAAAGAAGATCAACGTCGCACCAGGAAAAAGTATATTAAATATAGCAAATATAGACACCCCTAGCACCTCAAAATGTCCAATAAAAAATCCGGAAGAAAGCCGCAACAAAAACGGCCAGCGCCAGATGAAAGCTCTGATTCTGACTTTCCAGACATAAATGCGGTAGTCGCAGACCAGCATTCTAACACTAATGTTTACAAAATAAAACCGAAAAGACCGACAAACAAGCAACCCAACCCTTGGGATAGCAGTGATAGAGAAATTGAGAATTGTGATGAAGAAGCTGATAAAGTCCAAAACGAAACACGCTGTGATAGCGCAGTATTACTGCATGAACCTAAGGCTGAAGACTTTATTATCGCTGAATTGGGGACAACAAAAGGCGCGAAGAAGAAATTCGTTGCGAGAATTGTATCCATCGAAGAAGACGGGAGAAAATATTGGTGCTCTTTCTTAAGAGCAAGACAAAAAATTAAAGACGCCTTTGTTTTCCACAATGCAGAAGATTTATTGTTGGTGCAGCATGGAGAGGTAAAGAAGATACTTGCTTCTGTCTTAAAACTAAGACGAGGAGGCTTCCAGTTCCCAGGCCACAAATTTTGAAGGCTGTTACCTTTATGCCAAAAGTTTTTTTGAATAATTTATAGTTTTTTTTGTTTGAGAATTATGAAACTTAAGTTTTTTATATATTTTTTATTTGAAAATAAATCTTTATTCTTTAAATCTTAAAATTTTATTCATTTAAATTTTTATTCCTTTAAATCTGAGATCTTTATTTCTTTAAATCTCATTATCTCAAATAGGGATGTAAATATAGGTTTGAAAAAACACCAACAACTTTTTTCTCTCTATATATATCTTCAAGTCACCTCTTAGGAGTCAGAATTGAAAAACAGATAACAAAACAAGCAGTTTTCAAGTCACCCCATAGTGGGGTGACTTGAAAAACAGTAAAAATTATTGGGCCTTTTGGCATTTTTTTTTTATTAACAAAAAATCTCAATTTTTTTTTCAAGTTTTTAATTTTATAGAAAAATTGTATGATAGAAAGTCATTGACAATTTAAAATTAAGTCTAAATATAAAATACATGATTTTAATTTAATTTTTTTTTCTATATTTCATAGGCCCACAAAAAAAGTGGTCCGCGGCCTACAATATTGACCATCGACGTAAGTAACTGTACATTCAACACACGCAACATGACGGAGACCAAACCTTCCGACCTAAGGCAATCACTCGCTAACGTAGCGAACTGCGACGCACAACACGAAAGAACCTCCGCAACATGTATGGATTTTTTAAAGGTTATATTTTAATGGTGCTTTCAACACTTCCCCATTTCAATTTTTATAATAGTGTAGCTTGAGTTGTTTGTCAAAGTTTTGGTTAAACGCAGTTCTTAACTTAATTAGTAACCCCTTGAAACTTGATGTAATTTCGCATGTCAACCATGAAGTTTTGACGCATAAAACTAAATTTACACAAGCCATCGGCAAAATTGTTAAAGACTTAATGGGCTGCGTAAATACGCAATATGCACTTAAACGTTGTTTAACTGAAAGTTAATAATCACTTTAAAGTTTAATTTTTCAATTAATTTAAACAAAAATTAAAGTGGGTTGTAGTGTATTTAAATATCGTAGGCGATACTGCCTAATTGCCACTGTTTTTAATGTTTTGAAGTTTTCATAATTATAATTTTATCTATTAAACTAACTTAAAAGTATATTATGTATTATGTTTTATAAACGCCATTTTATTTATAAGTTTTATTAGGCACGAGCAAAGCTTGCGAGCGAGTGATTAAAAAAACGAGTACCTAGAGAAGTTTATAAAACGAGTTGCGTATTATACTTTATCTACCCCGCAGGGTGCGACACTGAAGCGGCGTTTTTTCATAATAATAATAAAGTGTTAAATGCACAAATATTGTAAACTTTCTCAAAATGTAACGGGTGCGATATTTAAACTCTTTATCGAGTATTGAAACTCTTCTGTGTTTATACTTAATGCTAACTTCTTAGCATTACAATGTAGGAATATTTAAATTACGTCGCAATTAAACTAAACTGAGCACCACTCAATGTGTCCCGACCAAAAAGTTCGTCCTTTTTCAAAACGACATAACTTTTTTTTTTGTTTCTTAAATGATTTTATTTTGGTCTGTGATCCTCTGGCAATTCATGCTATATATATGAAGCTCACGGTTCTTTAAGTAAATTTCCTACAGGGTGATATGTAAAACGGTGAAAAATTTCAATAACTTCATCCGTTTGAAAAAAGTAATATTTTTTCTCGTTATGTCTTACTTTGAAAAGGTTTTCAAAATTTTCGAATTGGAATCTTGGCAACGAAAATATGATTTTTTTCCTAAAGAGTACATTTAAGGCTTTTTGGTAGGCAATACACTCAATCTTTTTAAAAACAAGATGATAAGATGGTAAAATATTGTTCCTTGAATAATTCTGAACAAGCGACAAGCAAAAAACTTTCATTATTTTCAGAGGGGCCTAAGCAAAGACCACTTTTTCAAAATGACATTTTGGTAAAAATTTGCGAAAACGAAACCTGAACCGATATTTACGTTCGTGAAATGTTTTCTTTATAATTTTGACCTCCTGATTGTGATTCAGTTGTAAAATTTAAGTTTCAGATAAAACCAAAATCACCAAGAATCAAAATTCGAAAACAATTCCCGGCTGTTAAATGTCTTAATAAAATCCGATTGCTGGCGTATTTCTTGCATATTTATGATTAAAATGTCATTTTGGGCGAAATTACTGCAATTTTTTTAAGTGGTTAGGATAATGTTACATAACTTACATTTTAAATGTAAGTTATGTAGTTAAATGATTTACATTGCGCACTAGTGATAACTTATCACTGATACGTACCTACCTAATTGGTAATAAAGTTAAATAAAAATATTTTTGTTGATTTTTTTAAATTTTATGCCAAGATATAATCATAATCAAAACTGCAAGATGTTGCATTCAACAGAACAATGTAACAAACAATAACAATTATTACCTTCAATATTTCGTTGGAGCTAACCCGTAATAATTCGTTAACCCTCCTGGGCATTCCTTTCACCAAGTTCCTTAGAAATTCCTGGGGTATCCCATTCTTCCTGAATATCATTTACCAATTCATCCAAATTTTCCATGCGTCCTTCCCTCTCTTTCATCTTCAGTTTCATCCTGCTCCACACATGCTCAATAGGATTCATATCCGGAGACAAAGGTGGCCAATTAATTCTCTCAATACTCATTTACGGTATAGGCGCGGTGCAGACGGGCATTGTCGGACGACCAACATGTTGAGCATAAGAGACCACGATATCCCTAACAACTAAATCTCTATATCTCTCAGCATTCACTCTTTCCATTCATCGCCATTCCACCCCAAACAGTCACTTCCCCACCTCCAAAAGCCACCCTTGCCTCCCGTTTCGTGCAATATTCTGCGAACCGTTGATTTGTTCATTCCCGTAGCTGCAGCAAAGTCTGGCATTGGCATTTTAATCATTTAAAGGAAGAATGGAAGTAACCTGGGTAAGATAGGGGTAGGTATAACTTATGAGCCATTCCACGCGTGACGGATGGGATAGTTGCCGTGTTTTTATTTACAAAATAATGTTGTTCTATTGTATCGCCAATGTCAAATTTTTATAAATGGTTCTAAACTGGAGCTGTTTAACAAGGTTTTTATTTGGCAAAATTGGGTATCGTGATTGACTGTCCAATTCCTTAAAAACTAATAATTTAAAGCGTAACGGTCGGGACTTTGCAATAGTCCCGACCGTTACGCTTTAAATTATTAATTTTTAAGGAATTGGACAGTCAATCACGATACCTAATTTTGCCAAATAAAAACCTTGTTAAACAGCTTTTGTTTAGAGCTATTTATAAAAATTTGACATTGGTAATATGGTGGAACAATATTATTTTGTAAATAAAAACACGGCGGCTGTCCTATCCGTTAAGCGTGGAATGGCCCTTATGCAAAAAAAAACTTCAAAATTTGGAAAAACACAAGCAAACTGAAAAAAATAAAGAATATCCCTCATAATGCGTTTTGAATGTTTTTCAATAACTAATTTTCATCATTTGATCCTCGATTTAATCATTCAGCGACATGATAATAACGTACTAAAGATGCAAAACAGCAATCGGATTTTATTGATTGATTCATTTAACAGACGGGAATTGTTTTCGAATCATGATTCTTGGTGATTTTGCTTTTATCTGAGACTTAAATTTGACAACTGAACCACAATCAGTAGGTAAAAATTTTCACCAAAATGTCATTTTGAAAAAGTGGTCTTTGCTTAGGCCCTGAAAATAATGGACGTTTGTTGCTTGCCGATAATAATTATAAAATAATAATTATTATACAGTCCGTATAATATAACCATTACTAAACACTTGACTATTACTTTTCCGTTGGGCATTAATTGTTTATAGTAATTAATCCTAAATATTAGGGATGAATATGGTCACGATAGGATATTTACCTAAAATATATAAATTCTCAGTAGGTCATTCTTCAGTTGTTTGATTAATTATTTAATATTTTGGTTTGCTTAAAGCATTGATTGTGGTGCACTCACGTCCAATAAAAATCCGTATGCACTTGCCGAAATAATAAAGAATATATTAAAACATCGAGTCAATAACAAATATTTCTATAGATGTGCAAGGTTATGTTAATTTTATAATAATTATAAAATTAATATGACGGGGCAGTTCGATGAGGTGCCCGGGGGGCCCGATCATATAGGGGCCTGAGACATAAAGAAAATTGTTAAATAATATAATTATTATATATACCTATGATCTTATTGAATTTATAATTAAAAATTAGGCGCGTATGAAACTATTGTAAAGTTTTTATGTTATATAGATAGCCTCGAGGGGGCCCCGTATCAAAAATCTGGTGTCACGCCCAAAGTCTATTTTGGGCAAACAAACCAAATTTTTAGGGTATATATATACCGCGGTAGCTACGCCCCTGCATGTAAGTCAAACTCAAATATTATCATTGTATTTATTTTTATATTGTTTTCGTATTTATTGTGATGTGTGCCAATAAAGTAGTTACTATGTAAAACCCAAAATGTCCAAAAATAATTTAAGAAAATGTGGCGTACCAAAAAAACCGGCTGCCTTTAACAAAGGAACTGATTCCCTCATGTAAACGGAGGTTTTAGCAGAGCAGCCTCGTGTATTTAAGTGTGCAAGGATTGTTATTGGAACATAAGTTCATTTACAATCATTGCTTTAAGAGAATCAGTTTGAAATACTGTTTTATCGAGGGAACCGCACTCTGCAGGCAGTAAACGGCAGTCCTAATTATTCATACCTACTCTTTGGTTTTGTTGTTGTTTTTGTCTATCATAATTTTGTAGTAGAAGACACATTTATAACATTTTTTTATTTTTATAATTAGTTTTGTAATTACTATAGTATACTTTCCAGTCAAAGTAAAGTTGCCAAACAGCACACGTATGCTAAATATTTGGGAATCATTACTTAACACAAAAGCGCTTACCCTAAAATATTAGTTGGATTGGCAGAAGAAGGCCAGTTGCGAGGCCAC